TTTTATTTCTCTTGAGGACAAAGTATCACCTCACGTCGCTACGAAGCTAATCCGATTACTGCTGAGACAGCTTTTACTAAAATCTGATTAAGCTAGTGAATTTTTTAAAATGGGTCGATTGAGTACCACTGTTTAGTCGGATTTCTAATCCGACAACTTATCGTAAACACCCATAATCTCTTTCATAGCGAATTCGGTTGCTTGCACTAGTGTGCACTGAGTGCGCACTAAGGCTTGTTCATAGTATGTTATTATATTTAAAGATTGTCTTAAATAATTCTCAAATAAATTTTCAAATATTTTTAACCATAATATGATATGTATAACATCCGTACGAATCATTTTATTAGTTAAAATGTTTTTAAATATGTATTTAAGACACGATCTTAAATATAAGAATGTACTGTAAACAAGCCTTAATGCGCACTCAGTGCGCACTAGTGCAAGCTACCGAATTCGCTATCAGTTTGGCGGTCATTTGACATGGCGGCGCTTTCTCTGATGTTCTCTAGATGGCGATCGAAGATATCCGGGGCTAAATAAAGATGGATGGATATAACCTCTTTCTTTGGGTGATCTTCGTGATATATTGTGAATGGAAGTACATATTTTAGAATTTGATTAGTGAAAATATTACTTAATACGTGAAATCAACAAAATGGGCAAAGAAAATGAAACGGATAGTACGAAGAAAAGGAAGAAATCTGTGAGTGGAAGCGGTGGAACGACAGTGAAAGATGGAGATATGTATAAGGTAAAAGCTGAAAGCTATGTTACGATTTGTTTATTAACAATTTTTTGTTTAGATAATTAAGTAAAACTTTTTTTCTTGCACTTACCATCAATTATATTTAAAATTAAACAGTGAAATCATACTGTTTTTATAAGATGATTGCATATAATTTACTAATCTTACTTTAGACAATAATTAGTTATGAAGAGAAGGAAGCTATTGAAAGACTACCTGAAGATGACTCTGAGTCCTTTTTGGCAACTTGCGATAATATTCGAACTGCAATGAGCAAAATAGCTAAATTAAAATCCAGTGGAGACCCAAACGTTAGTAATAAAGTTAATTATAAATTACTACTCAAACTTTAAGTTTACTATAAATAAAAATAAATTAATATTTCAGGTAAAAGATGAAATTCGTGAACTACAAATCCAGACATCTTTACATTTTATAGAATTAAAGAAACTAAATCGCATGGAAAAATTTCGTACAAAATTTGCACGTGATTCCCTTGTGACAGCTAAAAGCAGTGTAGATAGTAGACATTTGCATTTACAGAATTTACTATATGAAGTAATGCATTTGAAAAAAGAGGTTATCAAGTGTCTTCAATTCAAGTAAGTCTTATTTTTTTATGGAACTAGTTATAAAGTCTATATATTATATAGTATAAAGTTATAAAGCCTGTTGATATATTTAAGTAAATTGGATTGAATTCATAATTATTTGTTTAATATACAGATCTAAGGACGAGTTGATAGCACTTGTTTCAGAGGAAGAATTTTACAAAGAGGCTCCTGAAAGTGTTTCGCGGCCTGTATGTATTTTTTATATGTAGTTTATACAAAATATGATTTGGATAAGCAATTATTTCAGTAAGTGTTTATATAACATGTGTATTTCAGGAAATAACCAGAAATAATCCACATCAATTAAGATTAGCACGTTTGGAATGGGAATTGACACAAAGAAAGCAATTGGCAGCATTGTGCGACGAACTGACAGAAAGTAAAAAAGCAGTAGCAGCCAGTATTGATACAAAACAAACACGTTTGGATAATCTCGCACCACAGCTACGTTCAATACTGGAGGTAGCAATCTATTATTTTTCGAAAATCCTTTTGTCGAGCGTTTCTATAATTAGGAGATTTAATTCACATTTTCTTATAGGCAAGCAAACCATTGCAAGAGAGCCTTGGATTGCCACTCGATAAAATCCGACAAGAGCACCAAAAGGCATCATTACTCGCATCGCCACTTTATGTCCTGTATGCGAAGGCATCCGCTTATAGAGATGCTTATGGTATGATTAAAATAAATACTAAATATTTATATATTAATGTAGTTAATTTATAGTAATATATAAATCATAATTACATAATATAATTAAATATTTATTCAAATATGCTTATATCAAATAATTATGTATTATATTTTTTCTAAAAATATAATAAACACCCGCGTACATATGTTTAAATACATGTGTGCATATGTAATTATCTTATGAACTAAAATCTCAGCTATTCATATTTTTGTAGATAGTGCACTGCTAGTCAAAGTAGAAGGTGATGAGGACGAAGCGAAACGTGCGAACGGTCAGGATGGTTTACAAGAATCCGATTCAGACACTGAGAATCAATCGGAAAATATCGTGGAGGAAACGCCGGTACACAAGAAAAGACATCACAGGTTATCTCGCGAAGCCAGGCAAGAAGAAAAGAGATCTAAATTGTTGCAGCGACACCCGTTGCGTGTGAAAATTGTGATCGCTTTGAAAAGTAAGTTACAGATAGTTTACAAGAAATAAAAATACTTAAACCATATTCGATTTGAGATTGAATTGTAAAATGTGCTGCAAATTCAAAATTAACAGATTTGCTAAGCTGATTTAATAACTTTTGAAATATTAATTTTTAAGCTATATTTAAATATTAACTTTTCAGGTGAAACGAGATTGACTCTGCATTTTTATTACATGATTTATTTAAAAGTAGTTACTGTAGAGTCGAATCTTGAAACGGAAGAATTAGGAAGTATTAGTGCTGGGTACGTATATATATATTTATTACTTCAGTTACATAGCTAAGAAGGGACTTGAGGAAGGGATTTGTAAAAAATTTTCTTATCCACACTCATCCTTTCATACCTCTACTATCGTTTTTATACAACTAATATTCTTATTCTAATATCACAAATTTTACTCAAACTTCATCCTATTATAATGCTTTTTTATTCCTAAACTTATCCCTATATCATACACGTTACCTCGTGATCTTCTTCTATCTTAATCTATTTCATTTATCATTTATTACTACTCAAATTTACCATTACACATTTCCTAATCCTTTCTCTCTATAATCTACATCCTATGGGTGTGTAAAATTTGATTATTTAAATACTAGTATGTACATACAATGGCCACACAGCATTTTAACATACTCACTTTATCCGGTAATCCTTCAAGTTGCTTTTAATCAACAGGGACATGTTAGTATCAGAATCGATTCTTCGAGAGTTGTATCCACGGGACTTGGGATTAGAGAGTCCAAATCCTGCCAATCATTATCAACTGTCGCGACATAATTTGGGTCCATTCTCATCGTTGGGATTAGGTATTCCCTATAGATGGGCACAGAGAATGGCTGGTCTGACTTTCGTCTCACCTGATGCGCGTGAACAAAAGGTATACATGTCGTGCATTATTTAAAATACGATTTGTTAATCAATAGACGCAGTTAGATCATTGTTTAGCTAAAATTTCATTTTATTGTTGACATATAGCTCACAAGTCAAGAATTGAGTCAAGATTGCGTCGAGAGTGTCTTGAAAGAAATCAAGCGGCGCGTAAAAGCGAGATTGGACTTGTGTAAAGAAATACGACACCTCGAGTCCGGCAATCTACCAATCCTCGTCAGCACGACGGATCCGATGCCGCAGAAGATCTCTACGTCACTGCATCGATTCACGACCATGACTTGGAAGAGTTACTCGAATTACGTCTCTTCGTCGACTTTCTGTCAACGGGAACTACTGTCGTCTATAGATATTTTCTACGAGGCTGTACTCCGACGTGGAAGCAGTAAGATTATTTTTAATATTAAAAGTGAAACAACACAGTAACGAAATCTAGAATGTGCCGTGCATTCAAAATGATCTTTCAGGTGAGCTCGTGGCGAGAATCGCTATCAAACCAGATTATCCGAAAATAGCGCCGGTATTCAGCGTCAGTATCAGCCCTATGGTTCCGGCATCGGCTGATATCGTCAGAGACATTGAGAGAGAAGTCAATGTGATGTGGAAGAAATCACCGACATTAATTGCGCAGATACAGCGCCTGAGAGCATGTTTCGACATCTACTTAGAGACGGAGAGCATGGCACCGAAAGAGAAAATATTCTTCCATCCTGTGAGAGGAAGGACTCGCGCTCGACCATACAAATACTTGCCGCTGGGAGGAGGCATATTTACTCACCGTTAGATAATAAATTATTTCTCACAATATCTGCTCCTTGATTCTCCAGTGTCTCGTACGTAGAAAATTGGACTATTAATTATAAGAGAAATGATAAAAATAGTCTTACTTTAAGTGTCTAATTACGTATATTTTTTCATTAACTTTCAATTATCAAAGAATATTGAATTTCTTTTTGGATATAGTAGAAATATAAGTACTATACTTTCATACGACAACAGAAGTAAATGGCCGTGCAGCCGGAGTTCTGGAAACTGTTATGAGATATGTACGCAATGTGTTTCTCAACTGTTTGTTTTCGAACGACAGCTTGTCACACTCTTTCTTCATAAAAATATTGTCGGCTTTAATGTAATTATACTGTTCCCAAAATTTCTCCAACTTGTCAAACGGCTCCGACATCTATGAAAGCGATTTCGTATAGCAACTTTTCAACACTCATTTCTTACATGATACTTACGCAGCTAGTAAAAGCTATCCTGGATCCTGTATCGCGTAGAGTGTATTTTTGAACAGTTAGCGAAAATGGCTCTAAGTTCGAACACATTTTTAACAACGAAAGCAGCATCGTGCCTTTCTCTGAAATTCTCTGCAACTCCTGCAAATCAAATATCTTAAAAAATGCATATCTTTCAAACTATAATATTTAAGCTCTCTAAATTTTCAATTTAGTATAACAATAATGAATCAGAGTTGGATAATTTTTGAAAATAATTATCTTTCATATAAAACTTGAAAGAGATGGTCTCTCTTACTTTCAGAACACTGGCGCTGATAATGGTTAATTTTTTCAATTGTGTAGCGTCCAGCATTCGTACCATCGAGAATTCCTGCCTCAAGCTCTGAAGTCTCTTCCCCATCTGCACAATGTGATCCTTAAGTTCCGTTATAGTCTGTTCGCGTTTCTGTGCTAATGCTTGCATGTCCTGTTTTAGATTTTTAATCACGTTCTGCAATTGTGTGTGTAATTTCGGATATTGCGCCACATCGGCATGATAAGCATCGTCTTGTTCCTTCAAGTACTCATACTGTTTTCTTTTGTCTCTTGTGCTTCTTTCGTACTCGGTTATCGTCTCATTAAGCTGTCGCCACAATTTCTCAATCTCATTAGAAGTGTATTGCATTAAATGCGATACGGAGTCTTCCTTCTGAAATAAAAAATATTTTCGGATGGAAAAATTAATTTGTTACAAAATAATAATGAAATATGTTATTTTGTTGCAAAATAATGAAATATATGCCCATACCAGATATACAACACTATATGTGTTAATGGCATTTTGAATTTTCGTTTGCGTTAGTGTGTGTTCTATCTGTTTATCTTGCTTAAAGATTATACTTTGCACTTGTTCGCAACGTTGTTCTAGATTCTTTCGAATTCGATTCAATTCTTCCACCTCGTTTGAAGCGATATGATCACGTTCATGTACGAAGGACCCATGTAATCGAGTACATATTTGCTTGTACTTTCCTATATGTGATATTAATAAGTAAATTTTACAAAAATGAAAATTAGCATAATGTTCAAAATTCTATTTGGAACTTGGAATTAGAATTTTCGATCAGGAATTAAAATATTCGACTGTTTTATGCACAAATTTAGACGATATTACGCTAGATGTATGAGAACTACCGAATATGAGATCTATTATTTGAATATGAGCCTCTTGTAGCCTTCTGTGATCCAAATCTGCCGCATCTAACTCGTTATATAAACGTTGTATTATAGAATCCTTTGTTTTCATCATGCGATCGAAATTTTTCCACATATACTCCATGTCTTCGCGAAGCTCCTTGCACTTGATTCGTCGTAGAATAAATCTCCATTGTTCGTTGATTTTCGCAGTATTTAATCGCGAGAATGCTTCTTCACGTTTTAACTTATTCTGTGTGCGAAAGAATTTACCATTTACAGAATCGCATTCAGATCATGTTTTAACTATACACTTAGTACCTTTGTAAAAGCTGCAATCAGCTGCTGTTTGCGTCGTTTGGCCTCTAATTCCAATTCTGCTCGATGCTGCAAGTAACGAGCACGTTCCTCGTCGCTCATGCGAGCCAGCTTACTTCCTTTTCCCTTTTTCTTTGGCATCTTGTGACAAACGAATGATCTCTTACACTCGTATTTTTTATAAATTAATATCCAAATCGTTTATTCATAACAAGATACAATTTCTTCTCAAGGATAACAACACACTGGGACTGCCGTGGTCAGCCATGTGCAGTAGATGTTTGATCAATAACGATCGAGCTCTACTTATAATTAGTAAAAACTGTATTTTATGTCACTTATATAAAAATACTATATAAAATTTTATCCGACTCGAATCTAATTCGAATCAGGTAAAATATTAGGAAATTTTTCTTTTATTCGGAAATTTTTAGTCTGTTTTGTAAGATATAATAAAAAATATTCTATACCGTGTGTGTACATTAGAAAAGTTTTCGCAGTTTTATGTATACGTATGTCAACGGAATTAGAATTAAATTTGCGTTAAATATTATCTTTTTAGATAATCTAAACAAACTCTCTATTACTAGAAAGTGAACGATAGTGGATGTGTCATTGAACATATCCAACGCATGACTTTGTAATAAATCTACAAAATAGTTGCTGAATGTCCTGCTGTGACAGATTGTAGCTTATATTGAGACACAAAAAAAATATTCAGCAAAAATGATCGAGAATAAAATTTATCTACACTATCTAATATACATTGTATGAATTGTATCTATATTAGAAGTGTGGAAATGTATTTTGCATTTATAACATCTGCAAACGTTGCATCACGTTTTTGGACGATCAATAATGAAGAGATTCGCATAAACGATATGTTTGTATACACGTAATACTAATACTATGCAATACCGATATTTTTTGGCTAAAATCGCAGTCGAGGCAAGTAGATGATGTCGGGGAATAAGGAACTATCGAATTCGTACCCTGATCTAAGCTCGCGTGTAGAAAATCTCCTGTGTTTTTCATGGAGCTAAAGTAGAGTTGCCTCAACGTTTTTATCAGACTCTTTGTATCGTTGTATTTGGTGGAAAGCTTAAATGCAACTTGGACGATAAATGCGTTCTCTTCTTCAACTTTTTGATGAGCGCGCCCATATATATCAGAGATTCTTCTGCAACGTAATGGGTCTGCTGTTTTCAAGTTTTTCTAAAAGCGGTCTCTCCTTCGTTGTTGGTATGAAGCTCTGAGTGCGTCTGATTTTGTCACCTCCTCTCAGCGGTCGCGCTACAATTTGAGCTTCCAGCAGAAGCTGAGCCTCCTCGGCGCGTTTCACCTTCTCACACGCGGCGCGCAATTCAGTGTCCAAGTGTTGTCTCTCTGCCTCCAGTTGCTGCAGTCGCAAACTGGCGTCTAAAGATTGAAATAAGAAGATAGAATGAAGATAGATACCAGGAGAAAAATATGAAAATAAAAAAATGAAAAATAAAATTCTAAAAGATATAAAATTCACACCTAGATAAGAAGTATGCATTTTAGAGCTCTTACCTTGCAACTGTCGCTCATTCTCCTGTTGCATTCGCTCAAACTCTAGTCTCTTCATTTTCTCCATCTCCAATAGTTTTTGTTGCTCTTCCTGCAGCTTCTCTAGTTGTTCCCTTTTGTCCCATTCCTCACGTAAAACTCTCGCTTGCAGACTTCGTACTGTGATATGTGTAATATATTTAAATCGTATGATCTCTGGTAACGATGTAGCATGATGAAATTGAATACACTCACCTATCTCCTCGTCACGTAAAGCTTGTTTCTCCTCTTGCAATAGCAACTCCAGTTTATGCTTCACATCCTCCAACTGTTGTACCTTAGCACATTCCTCTTTCGACAAAGCTTCCAGTTTCCGAGCCTGTATTTCAGCAGCAACTCTAGCTTGTCTTTCATGTTGGAGTTCCAGCTTGGTCTCCTCTTTCTCTTGCTTAGTTGCCTGATACAAATACATAAGAATGTACATTAGTATATTCATAATAATGATATATTTAACTAGATCTTTATTCATCATTAATTGTACCTGTCGTAAGGATCTCCTTTGATTGGCCAAACTTCTCTGGTAACCTATCTTTTCGCCCGAATGCTGAATAGCAGTTTGCAAAGCCGCGAGCCACTGCAGCCTACCCTTGTGATCTTCTGCCATTAGTTCAATGCATCTGTGCTCGGGAGTGCTAAGCACGAATCTTCTATCAGGCTTGCCACTATTATTCAAAGCATCTGCCCAGCAATTAGCGTTCAGCACTATTAAGCCAGATGGGTCTTTCTGTTGAGAATCCTTATAATATGCCAATTCGCCAGGACGCAGTACGAACCAAAAATACCGCAGCGTTGGTAATAGAAAGCCTTTCTTCATCAAGTACCCCTATTAATATAATTTCTAATCTATTAATATAATTTCTATTTAATTCGTGATTCGTAATTTTTATTATATAAAATTTAAAGTTTTGATTTACCTTCTTCACTACGTTTTCCACATATATTTGATAGAGATCATCGATTGCCTCTGTCAATGCGACATTATCCAAGGTGTTGCCAGCACTGCATTTGGATTCAAGGACTGCTAAGAATGTAGGGAACCTTGGGAATATATTTTTCATAAGTGATGTGCGATTCTATCTTTAACTAAATGAATAAAAAGTTACCTGAACATCCTAATAGCTGCTGACAGAGCTGAGAAATCTGCAGCATCCCATTGCAAACCCAAGGACATCACAAGATGAGAAGCAATTCGCGCCACTTCGTCGCCATGCATTGTTACCTAGGTTAAAAAAATAACATATTAGACGCTGAATAGTGTGAGATATGTTTATAAAAAAAAAAAGATAATAGTAAACCAGATAAGCATCCGTTGCATCAGGCTCAGTTTCAGCAAGTAGACAATAAATTCTGAATAACTGATAGACACTGTGATCCTTGAAAACTGGATGGGACCTTTCCAAATACATTTTCTTACATATCAGCCAGCAGATCTCATCTATTCCTTCTTCCAGTGCTCTCAGTGTATGTATGGAAGTAGCATCAGTGATAGAAGAGAATACCTAAGTCAGTCAACACAATCCCAAGTTAACAATATATATTATAAAATTCATAAAATTGGACTAACTGAAACAAATGCTCTTAGCAGAAGAAAAAAGGTATATTCTACGCATTTCTCTCTGAAGAAACAACATTAGCACTTGTTCAGCTTTGTCCAAATAACTCACTGATTTTTAGTCTCACAGTGCCTTACTTCTTTCTGCAAATAATAGGTATACTGATCAAATGTTAGATTTTGAGTGCTTCGATAATGCTCCAAGCCTTTCTCCACACCATACAAGTCCATTAATGTACCAATATTAGCTGTCAGAACCTATAGATAAGCAAATATAAAAAGTAAGCTCTCTATAACATTTAAATTAGATTATTTAAGATAAATTAAGCTAAGGTATGTGAAAATAATAGACATAAAGTAAGACAAATAAAATTAAACGTCAAATACGGCTAACAGATTGTCACTTGTAGCTCGACATTTTTCGATGTTTACCTTTAATTTTGACTTGGTGACTGTATTGCTAGAGTCAACTTTTAACGCATAGAACGCATGCCAAATACTATTGGTTAGGTTTTTGAACAGGTGGGCCATTGCGGTTCGTGCAGCAACAGGTGTTTATATGTCCGTCGTCTACACGCCTATTTGTTTCTCACGTCGTTATTATCATGCTTTGACGAGCGCATATCTTTAAATGGCGTTTTACCCTTTCTTCCACGCTCCGCACTTCTCTAAATGGCCAAAGGTGGCTGTCTTCTACGATGCTTTTCATTCGCTGTTATCTCTTGCGCCAAGAATGACACATACAATTGTCATTCACGTCTGTGGGGAAATTCTTCTAATTTGCTGTTTGAGAATTTGCCGTCCTCGAAAAAAAAATTTATTCTATTTGGTAATTGATTTGTACTATTCGAAAATAAAAACGTCTGCCTGATTTATCGTTGTGTCGTGCTACTTGAAACTAAAAGGTTATTGGACTTTCTGTTGCACATAAGTTAAATGATTTGTAATTTTAATGAAAATAACGAAGTTTTTTCAAAAGTATTTTACATTATAGAATAATTGAAGAGAGCCCGCAGCCATTTACTTTTACCGACGAAGTAATATTAAAGACTGTTGATCTTATAGGATTTGACAAATCAGAAGTTTCGCTATTTAACAACTTTTTGTCGGTAAATTTGTCGATAAAAATGTGTAAAATCAGTGTACATGAGAAAGAAATGAAGTTTCATAACAATATTGAATATATTTTATTCTAGGTTTATCGAGCCGGAGAGAACAGAGAGAAAAGAGAGCGATTGATTAGTGCGCGCTGACTTATATAATTATACTAGATGTCGTTGTAAGCGATCGCAGATCGCTAATTGGTTGTGCTTGACCACGCAGGATGTCGACACTTGGCCATTTCTTATATCTGCTTATAGGTTCATATTCTTGCCGTTACATTTGAAGAGGGCGCTGCAGGCGAATTTTAAAAGGTACGTAATGCAAGTTTATGGAAAGCAGCTAAAGTTGGACCGATGGGTCTCAATAAAAGGTTAGGAATACAAATTATATAAATAGAATTTATGCCCGGCATACTCTCCACGTGTTACATTTTCACAACCAAAAATATGTTAATTTGATTTTTCTATCTTGTAATTAAGCCTAACAATTGAGGTTCCTCACAAATTAAATTATGTGCTTTCAATAAATATTTGTTAATATTGACAAGAAGAGAGAAAGAAGGGTGTGTGAATAATTTTTATATCTTTTGTAATTTTTGTATCTTGCAGTAAGCAAAATTTACTGCATAACTATTCTGCATACTATTTCTCATGGCAAGGATGAAATAGTTTTCATTTGTACTATAAGCTCTGGAGCCATCTGAAATAACGCTAGATGATCAGAGGTATCATTAAGTCTATTTTTAGTTCTCACTTTTCTCGAAGATGTTTAGCTGAAAATAAACCTTCACTGTTACCGCGTCTAGATAGTTCTATTCCATTTGTGGTTGGGTGGCTTGCACAACTGTTGCTAATCCTGATCTCATTTTGAGAATGAATGCAGACTGAAGCACATACTGGTTTTCCTTGCAAATTGTGTCTGTGATAAGATCTGAGAAAGAAGTGAATTGTTCACTAAAAACTTAATCTTTTTAGTAATTGTGTCAACAAATTATAGGTGAGTTTATTTTGGGTTAAAATTTCTTTGCATTTTATTTTTGAATATTTAGCTTAACATATAAAATCATAATATAAAAACTATTATAACAATAAGTAATAATTCATGTAACAGATTTTAATACTATTTCTTTCATTTTGAAAAAAACATTTTATATTATAGAATATACTATATACTACATCATGACAAGAGCAGATAAAACTGCACAAGAGTGGAAGGAAAAAGGTAACGAGGAATTCAACAAAGACAATTGGTCAGAGGCTTTAGATTGCTATACAAATGCACTGAAACTAACAAAGGAAGACAATTCTGATAAAGCAGTGTACTATAAAAATCGGGCTGCTGCTTATTTAAAGTTAAAAGAATATGAGAACGTAATTGCAGACTGTGATAATGCCTTAAAAATATGCTCTAATGATCCCAAGGCATTGTTTCGTAGATGTCAAGCACTAGAGGCATTAGAGAAATTTGAGGAAGCATATCGGGATGCAAGATATATCATTTTATCCGATCCTAATAACAAATCTATTCAACCTATAGCTACACGTTTACATGAAATTGTACAGGAACGTTATAAAGAAAGTTCACGCATCAGTGCTAAGGTATGTATGTCATATAGGTATGTATGTTATATATCATATATATACAGGGTGAGACATTTAAAACAGGTCACCTGAATAATTCGTTTGTTTTCAACAATAGAAGGAAAAATGCCAAACAAAAATTGCTTGGTTTCGAGGGGCACATAATGTGATATTAATAATTGTTTTGTAGATGGAGGTGTAGAGGATAAGCAAAGGTCAAATCTGTTTTTTTAAATGGAATGATGTTTTTTTTATTTACATTCTGATCGAGCGTTTTATGACGAATACAGTGACCTATAATTAAAGGTCAATCAAGGTTACGCAAGGCCAGTAATGGAAAATAATTGAATGGAAAATAAATTGTTTCAAGGCACTCTTTGAAATTTCGTATCTTCTCTGCTTGTTGGTATATACTTAAACGATTACAAAAGCGGTATACCAACAAGTAGAGAAGATACAAAATTTTCGAAGAGTGCCTTGAAACAATTTATTTTCCATTCAATTATTTTCCATTACTGGCCTTGCGTAACCTTGATTGACCTTCAATTATAAGTCACTGTATTCGTCATAAAACGCTCGATTAGAATGTAAATAAAAAACATTTCATTAAAAAAAATATATTTGATCTTTGCTTGTCCTCTACGCCTCCACCTACAAAACAATTATTGACATCACATTATGTGCCCTCAAAACCAAGCAACTTTTGTTTGGCACTTTTTCTTCTATTGTTAAAAACAAACGAGTTATTCAGGTGATCTGTTTTAAATGTCTCTGTATATACAAAATAATTAAGTGCTAATATATATCTGTATATTAGGTATCGCAAATGCTGGATCTGGCCTTTAATATGAGCATAGATAAAGAGAAACGTGAGACCGCCATGAATAATTTACTTGTGCTTGCACGTGAAAGAGCTGGTGCTGAGGAAATCTTCAATGAAGGAGGTGTCTCCAAGATCACGAAACTTCTGAAAATCGAAAACAACAATGAAGTGACTTGTAGCGCGATCCGTATTATAGCCGAATTGTGTGCAAACAACGTCAGTCGAACTGAATCCATCATAAGAGATGTCGGTGTACCTTGGTGCCTGGAAATGATGAATAGTAAACAAAAAGAGAGAGTTAATGCGTCGCAATATTGCTTACAGGTGAATATGCAAGTTTGATCAAGCGAAATCTACGTAATTGTATTTATAATCGAAAATCTTACTTTATACCTTGATTTCAGACCATATTGAATGCTTACAGCGGTATGGATAATAAACCTGATTCGAAACCTAACAAGACTTTGTGCGAGAAGCATAAGAAGGAGATAGACACGATCTTGACATGCTTGCTGTATAGCGTAACAAACAGAACGATAACGGGTCTGGCGAGAGACGCGATAATAGAGCTCATTACGCGTAATATTCATTACACTGCATTGGACTGGGCCGAGCGGTTGATTGAGCTTCGTGGTCTGCAAAGATTAATGGAGGTAGCCAGTGAACTGGAAGAATACAAGTACGAATCTTCGATGGAAGTTACATCTTCTACACGAACTATCACCAGCGTGTGTTTAGCCAGAATATATGAGAATATGTACTATGACGCTGCCAAGGAGAAATTTAGTAACGCCATTGATGAATTTATTAAAGATAAATTGCTTACACCAGATATAGAGTCTAAGGTACGCCCATTGTGCCACTGTAACTTGAGATACATTAACTTTTCGATTATTCGAATTGTGCAAAGTGATTTTAGATCACGAGATTCGCGTTATTCGTAATATGATGTTAATATTAATATAGACACATTCATGGATCATTGATTGATCGATTTACAGGTGCGTGTGGTAGTTTCGATAACGACTTTATTGCTGGGTCCGTTGGACGTCGGGAACGCGATAGTGGCTAAGGAAGGGATTCTAGAGATGATTCTCGTTATGGCGGGGACGGACGACATGTTACAGCAGAAAGTCGCGTGCGAGTGCATTGTCGCCGCTGCGTCGAAGAAGGACAAAGCCACTGCAATTATAAATCAGGGTGTGAGCATATTGAAGAAATTATATCAGTCCAAAGACGACTCGATTCGGGTACGAGCGTTGGTTGGATTGTGCAAGTTGGGTAGTTCCGGTGGCACGGACGCGACCATCAGACCGTTTGCGGACGGAGCGACGAAGAAATTGGCCGAGGCTTGCCGGCGATTCTTGATCAATCCCAAAAAGCAGAAAGACATGAGGAAATGGGCTGTGGAAGGTCTATCGTATCTCACCTTTGACGCCGAAGTCAAAGAGAAATTAATCGAAGATCAGCAAGCCGTTCAGGCAATGATCGAACTTGCCAAGACCGGAGATCAGTCGGTTCTTTACGGCGTGGTCACGACACTGGTGAATCTGTGCAACGCTTACGACAAGCAAGAACTCATACCCGAAATGCTCGAGCTGGCGAAGTTCGCGAAACATCATATACCTGAGGAGCACGAGCTCGACGATGTTGATTTTGTGAATAAGAGACTGTGCTCGTTGGCCAAGGCTGGCGTGACTAGCGCCCTAGTCACCCTCGCTAAAACTGACAGCCAGAACAGCAAGGAATTAATAGCGCGCGTTTTCAATGCGATATGCAGTCAACAGGAAGTGAGAGGTATTATTGTTCAACAAGGTGCCGCGAAAACGCTGCTGCCGTTGGCGTTGGATGGCACGGACAAGGGTAAGAAACAAGCTTCGCAAGCCCTAGCTCGTCTAGGGATCACAATCAATCCGGAGGTCGCGTTTCCTGGCCAAAGGATCATGGAGGTAGTGCGACCGTTCGTAAATCTCCTGAACCCGGAGTGCTCGGCGCTCGAAAACTTCGAGAGTCTGATGGCCCTGTGCAATTTGGCCGGTGTCAATGATAGCGTGCGGAAACGCATACTGAAGGAAGGCGGTTTTCAGAAGATCGAGGCCTACATGTATGAGGATCACGACATGTTGAGACGAGCGTCCACGCAGGTGATGAACAATCTGGTAATGTGCGAAGAGACCGTGCAATATTTCGAGCAGGAGAACGACAGAGTCAAATATCTCGTGATACTTTGCGAGGACGAGGATCAGGACACTAGTATGGCGGCGGCTGGAGCATTGGCGATGCTCACATCGGCGAGCAAGAAAATTTGCGAGAAAATTTTCGACTCGACGAATTGGGCGGAATCTCTGCGCTTCTTGCTCGCTAATCCGAACGGCGATGTGCAGCATCGAGGCGTCGTGATAGTGCTAAATATGATGAGAAGCACGAAGGACGTCGCCGCGAAGCTCATTGATACGGATATAATGGAGATACTAATGGCGTTGAGCAAGAACGAAAATGTGCAGAATGATAAAGTCAAGGAATTGACGACTACTGCTTTAGACGCCGCTGCTGAATGGAATCTAATCAAGAAAAACGTCGAAGAGGAAGAATCGTCACAAGGCACTAGTAACACAGAACATATCGATTGAGGACATTGATATGTGCATAAGACGTTTGAATATTAATTTAATATAGAGTCTGAATATCGTGTATTTAAAAATCAAGTGTCTTAAATCATATACACACACATATATATATGTGTGCGTATGTATGTATGTACGTATATGTATTACAGTTTAGTCTTTGCAATTTTATAATTTTAAATATATTTAATGTTATATATTTATATAACAATAGTTTTGTGTAATTGATATTTATATATATTTATATAGATTAAATATATGATTAATATTTTCGTGTGACTTGTGTCTTGATAATTTGCCAAATTATCAAAGTTTAAAGTATCTACTTATAAAAATATTTAACAGGTGATACATATTCAAAGAAATTGTAAATTATTGGGTTGAGCTATCTATAAATAACATTTAACAAACATAAAATTAAAACGCATAACAATAAAATGGAATACCATTAAGGTATTTATTTGTACGCTAATGATATATATGCGCGTGAAAAATATATATACATATAAAGTTTGAATTAAATATACTTAGTTTTATAAATATTTTACAGTGTTTTGTATATATCACGAACTCAAAAATGGGTGAGATAATGCTTGCTCTGCAGTGATACGTGTTTTGTAGTCTAGGTCTAGAAGTTTCGTCAAAAGATGATACGCTTCCTTGGGATATTCGATATCTGGCAATACCTTAAAAAATTTCACCAGTAATTTCAACATATTACAAAATAAAAATTATCACCGAAGCGATAGGAGAAAGTTAATTGTAATTTTCTTTTACTTTTTATAAAGAGTACTCCTTGTCATGTTATCTTCAGTTACACACAGTATCTTCCAATGAGTCAAAATTAAATCACTATTGACGAGGATTCTACCAATTTTCATCGATTTAATACTATCTATTGATATTCTTTGACCAAAGAAAATTCAAGATTATTGCGCTGCGTGTCTGATTATATTCAACTTTCTCCTACGCGATATATTGTTTCGTTAAATAATAAATAATTTAAAACACGAACAAAATATACCTTCTTGCATGTACTATCTCTATCATATGTCATGCTTCTATTTCTTTTCTGTAACTTTTGACATAGGGGCATAATGTCAATGCCTGGTAAATTATTGCTAAAAATAACTTTTTTACCTGAGTAAAAAATACAAATGAAAAATATAATAAAGAAGATTAAGAAGTATATAAGTGTAATAAAAAATGAATGACTTGAAATAAAGACAAATCATCATTGTAATCGTGACGCTTTTAATATACCTAATTTTTGCGCACACTGCTGCAGTTTACAAGTTCCAAACATCGACGTTATTTCCGCTAAAGCTGTACAGTCATCCGGGGAACGGAAAAATGGTTGCGTGCTACTCAGTATACATAGCATCATCACACCACTAGCCCAAACGTCAATCGCTGAAAATTTGCTTTCCTTCTTCACTTGTTAGAGATATAAAATTAGTTTACTAATGCCGTGGAATTATTAAGTTAAATAAATTCATGTTCAGTCGTTTCATCTTTTCTAGCGTAGAAACGAAGCAATGAATACACATCTTGATCAAACTAATATTATCTTTCAATACCTGAAGTTTGTGAGGGATGTTTCAATAAAACTTCTGGAGCGCGGAAACCGGGTGTACCCGCACGAGGTGCCTGTTCCTGTGGTTTTGTTGAGCATAACGAACAAACTCTTGGTTTGCCAAAACACATACATTTGTTATCTCCAATTCTTTTTGTGGTAATGTTCAACTTAAGATTCATATTATTCTAGAACAGGTTACAGAATAAAGTATAGGAAGAACCAGAATATTATAATATTTGCTTGTACTAAGCGTTATATTACTTCGTCCAATCTTTTCCGTTTCATGGCTGGTATTATCTCTATGTTTTTTATGTTAGTTTCTTTCGCAGCTTTGAAATTTTCCACACTACTTTGTTGAGCAAGACCAAAGTCTATTAATAAATATCTATATGAGGAAAATTAACAAAACATTATTTCACAGTTATAAAGAAAAAGTGTGCTAATTCTTATACAAACTTACCTTCTATTAATACGATCATAGAGAAAATTACTTGGTTTGACATCTCTATGGATGATATTGAATTTGTGAACTCTTCGTAGAGCACTTAGTAGAGCTCTCATGTAATTCTTTGTTTCTTCAACAGTCATGTCTCTCACATAATCCTAATCATAATTACAGTATAATGAAAAAATTTTGCAAAATTTTTATTCAGTATAAAATAATGCAAATATTAATACAATCTTAAAAACTTACTGGGAATTTATCATGTCTCATATATGGCATTACAAATACTACTGAGCCATGATTTCTCAAGCACAATTCTAAACCAACAACATACTCTTTACCTCTGAAACAAACAAATCATTATCAATTTTGTCAATTTGTATTAATATACATTAAATAAGTTTTTGTGCTAGTTTTGTCTAATATACCCTATCTGTTGCAGACATCTCAATTCACGTTCAATTCTTTCAGGATGACAAGTGGGAATCAAGTGTTTCAATGCAAATTTCTTCCTTCCATTAGAAGACTTTATAGTAGCCAGAAAAACAGAACTAAATGCACCTTCCCCAACTTTGCAATGTATATGGAATAATTCTCCTAATAGTGGAATTGATTTCCTGAGATTTGCACAGATGTCTTTAGCTACAATACAGTATATATACACAATGGTTTAATTTCTCTTATTTTAGGAAGTACATAATTAAAACACACACACACACACACACACACATATATATATATATATATATATATATATATATATATATATATACAATATATGTAAAATATGGTAGATACTTAAAAAAATGTTAATGTAATATAAAGAGAAAAAGTTATGCGATATTAACACAAGAATAAAACAATATCTATACGTTCAAAATTTTATGAAACATCAATGTATATATTTTTATTCACATAATACAATACCGTCATCATTTTCATCATTTTCGTACACATTGTCGATTTCCATCCTGCGAACTTGCTTTCTACAAACTTGCTTTCTCCTTGTAGTTACGAATTACTTGTTTCATCAATTACTTTTAGATCTGTAATATAACACTAAGAAAAAGAAGAGAAATTTAATAAGGAATAATTAATCATATATAAATATATGAACCATATGGGCAAAAAAGACTTTTCAACATTCTTTTTTCACTGATAAGAAAAATGGTATAACTACTTGGAATAAATATCTGTTTAACCTATCATTGATAGGTCATACTACGAGCTCAATTTGGCGGTATAAATAGTGGCGGCTCCTAACGGAGAAACTAATGGTCTATGCTTTTAAGCTGTATGGTAAATTGGTGTAATAAGTTAGAATGAAACAACAATATTTTTTTCTCATTCTAATTAATGCACCAGTTCGGCAGTGCAGTTAAAAAGAACAGACTACATATAGAAGGCCCTTAAGCCTATTTTACAATGGTAGTAAGTAATAAGAAGTAGGAAGTAAGAGTAAGAAATTGACCAATTATAGTCGAATATGAGAAGAATAATCAATTATGATTGGTCAATTTCTTACTCTTACTTCTTATTTTTTTCGCTTACCATCATTGTAGAATGGGCTTTATAGCGCGTAAGCGCACAAACGTGGCATTAATGTACACGACTTTAAGGAAACATAACCTTGGCAAGAGTAAAAATTGACTGTTTTCAAATGTATTGTGCAGTATTTTGTGTCAATTAATTGTTAAATTTTCGGAGTTGTAGACGAAATGATGTGGAGAATTTCAAAAATGCATTTTAAATCTTTAAGAAAAAAAAAGAAAAAAGATGGCTTGCTTTTTTACAGAAAGAGAGTATATTGTGAGGTAACTCGATTAAATTCGTTATAAATTTCATCAGTTACATCATATAACACCAACATATCGGAAAGAATGTTTCTAAGATGTTTACACGTGATAAAAATAAGAAAGAATTCGCAATAGTGCTGATTCGTAATAATCATGCTGATAACGGGAAGCTGTTGATGAACGTTTTCCGATATATGATCATGTGACGCATAACGAGTCGCCCTCGTCGACTCGTCAAGTTGTATGATTCCGTAGACGTCAGTGTTCCGGTTCGGTGAAGTTAAATCGAGGTTAACTTTCGTTCAAATTCAAAAAAAAATCAAGGAGATCACGAGAGAAAATTATTGCTAAATGGCTCATACAACGAGGCTGATCGCAACGAGCGCTAATTTAAGGAATACTTGCAACTCTCTGTCAATGGCTGTACGATCCGCAAGGTATTGTAAACTTCCAGTGGATGCAAATTTTCATCGTGGATCTATGACCTTTTGTCCTTCAAAAAATTGCTTAGATTTTATGACGAAATGACGATTTTATAATCAAATTCTCTAAAAATATCGTTGCTTTTGTTATTTTGGTCTTGATACTTTAATCGTTAATACATTGGTTAATTAAATTAATTTGGAAGTTTAAGTAATCTATTAAACAGCCTGATTTTTTATGCTATAAAACTGCTGTGATATTCTATTGTAATTTGTAAATTTATTTTGTAATTAAATACACCTTTTTGTATCCCATACATATTTTTTTGTATCGCATATGGTTTTTAATTCATTTTACCCAGTTTGTCTTATATCGTATATATATCTTATCTCTGTTATACAATCAAAGATAGTTATTAAAGAACACTAGATATAATTTTATGTATTACAAGATATAATTTTATGTATTACAGCTCATGGTGGTCTCAAGTAGAAATGGGACCACCAGATGCTATTCTGGGAGTCACAGAAGCATATAAGAGAGACCAGAATTCTAAGAAAATTAACTTGGGTGCAGGTGCATATAGAGATGATAATGGCAAGCCATTTGTCCTTCCTAGTGTCCGTAAGGTTAGTCTAAAAGTCAAATACTGTTTTTTTTCTACAAAATTACACACACACACACACACGTGCGCGCGCATGTGTGTTGATGTGTAAAATTCTTTGTGTGTCTATATACAGGATGAGGAAAAAGTATGGAAACCCTGAAAAATCTAAAAAAATATAAGTTTTACAGAAAAATGTTTCAAATAAAAGTTGTAGGATTTAAAAAGGTTTATTCAATAGTCTCATCAGTTTGACCCTGGCTGGCGTCGTTAAGGTGAAGTCAAAGTCACCTTGAATTTTTAAAATGGAACACCCTATTTTTTATTGCATATTCTTATAGCTTATCTCAAGAGCTTTCCAAAACACTATAATAATATATTTTTTCGTCAAGAACTTTTCGAGTAATAACACTTGAAATTTCCAGCACTTTGACATAGAATACAAAATATCTCGTATAATATTCATCTTTCGATTATCTTGCTTTAATACTTTTTTGCACAGAATAATGAGACAAATTAAGGGGAGAATTCGGTTTTTTTGGCCAAAACTATAGTAAAATTTAGGAATTTTTTTTTCAGAAACTAACTATTCAATTAATTTGAAATTTGCACCATGTTTTTATCTCAAGGCTTCGTCGCGCTGATCTTTCAAGCTGGTATTGATCTCGCTCTTCGGAATATATTTTGGCTTTTTCTCCTATAACTATTCCTATCGTTGTCATAGTTTTAAGGACAGCATAAAAACCTTCATTAAAAATTTCGGTTGTTAAATAAACCGCGATTTCAATTATTTTTGATCTACAATGAAGATGTTAGGCGCGAATCGCCAAACTGTAGAGTTAAAACTCTCGTTATTATTTTGAATTTCACCACCCAAACATCTTTCTAACAATTCTCTTGATGATAAATCTTTGAAAATTGGCTTTATGGCTTGCTGAATATCTTCATGTAGTGGCGGTTCATGATCGAATTTATCAAGAGTGTTATTAGTTTCGGTTACGCGCCATTTACACCAACTATCTGGCCCCATTGGACAATACATATGTTGTGGATTTTTATTTGTCGAGATTTTATGATAAAATATGGCCCACACAGCATTATATATATATTATCAACAGAGTCTGGATGTCTTCTGATTGCCAATCCGTAATAAATTGTCAATTTTTTTATCAATGTATCTGTCAATTTATTTTTTCCTCCAAGTTTGTGAATTGGTTTTACATTTCTCAACCATGAATCCATTCGCTTCTCCACGTGTCCTACGCATTCTTTTTTCTTTACTTGTAAATCATCACTGTAAATATTAATATCTAACAGAGCTTTAAAAGTTTTTGAGTCTCCATTACCAATATAATAAGCGTATTTCACTTGGAACAATTCCCAGGATCGTTGAAACATTTCTTTTACAGCGTCAACTTCCATCTTTCCGACTGATCCTTCATGATTTGCAGTACATTCTTCTGTATGTTCATCTAGCCAAATGAAATATTCCGGAGTCTCGCATTTAGATTCCCATACTTTACAAGCATGACAATAAGCAGATTTTATAACGAGGTCAACTACTTGTATATTTTCCGATAAGGGTCGTGATTCCAAACAATGAACTGAAACCTCTCTTCTTCCATGTTCCATCGCCAAAAAGTTATCTCTGCTATTGGTTTGCCATTTTCAGAATTTTTAATTTTTTCTTCTACTGCTTTTCTTCTCAATATATCAAAAATAGTTTTTGCTCCAATATAAATATAAATAAATTTATGCCTTTTTTACCAACGCCCAATAGTCTCATGACGAATATAACAAGTCTCCTATTTATCTCACGATTTATTATCTATCAAAGAGCAGGAATTTATATATTTTGTGTTGCACTTGCACTGAACTGCTATTTTAAAACCTAAACCACGAATACTAGATTCGCCGAAACGTACTTGTTCTTTGCATTCTTTGCAAATAACGAACTGAGATATCATAGTAAAAACCGACAAGAAAGCGATGATACGATAACCATGACCTGAGTCCACACACTATAATTTCCTCGTCTTGAGTACTGGATAATTTTTGAGCTGATGTATTTGCAAATAAAGTATCCGCTTCCCGAGTGTGAATATTACCCACAAATTTTCTTTTTTTATTTCTATTAGCACGTGCATGCGTATTTCGTGAATGTTTGCGATCCATTGTTTTATTGCTTTTTTCGTGCGTACGTCCATTTTACTCGAAGGTTAAACGACTACTGAGGATTTCGAATAACACAACAGTCAACTGTTCCTAGACTAACGTCTCTAGACTAACCTGATCCTGATCTTTGTGTTGAAAACAAAGCCTGAGCAGCTGTTGCCCGTTACAAGTTTTAAATCTGCGTTCGGTTCAGTTAAGACCGACTCATAACTCCGGAAGTCTTACGAATTTTGAAATGAAATTTTCTGGAGATATTTTTGAGATGATAAACTAAAATATTCCGTAAAAAAAAAATCGATTTTTTTTATCCGAAAAACCGAATTCTCCCCTTAATTGGCTTAAAAAAAACACAAAAAATTTTTTATATTATGTAAAAAATTTTTGTTTTTTTTACGTCAATTAATTTGTCTTATTATTCTGTGCAAAAAAGCATTAAGGCAAGATAATCGAAAGATGAATATTTTATGATATATTTTGTATTCTATGTCAAAGTGCTGGAAATTTCAAGTGTTATTACTCGAAAAGTTTTTAACGAAAAAGTATATTATTATAGTGTTTTGGAAAGCTCTTGAGATAAGCTATAAAAATATGTAATAAAAAATAGGGTGTTCCATTTTAAAAATTCAAGGTGACTTTGACTTTACCTTAACGACGCCAGCCAGGATCAAACTGATGAGACTATTGAATAAACCTTTTTAAATCCTATAACTTTTATTTGAAACATTTTTCTGTAAAACTTATATTTTTTTAGATTTTTCAGGGTTTCCATACTTTTTCCTCACACTGTATATACAGGGTGAGCTATTTTAATCTACGGATCCAAATTGCTCCTAAAATACGCCAGCTACAAAAAAATGGTTAAGACAAGAATTGTAGAGGACAACGGGGGTCATTTTACCGTGCTAATAATTTTGACCTTCAGATCGATTTTCAAGGTCATTCGAAGATCAAAGTCATTTTTTTAAATTAGAACCTCTATTTTTGATACCGGATTCGAAAAGAGCAGAAAATTTTATGTTAAAAATGATATTTAGATTTTTTTTCTGAGTCCAAGAAGGTCAAATAAAAAATGATTAAAAACAACTTAGAAGCTGTTAATGTTGGATACTTGAAAGATGTTGTTTTTACTCAACGGACTACAACAAAGATATGATGGAACGAATTCGTAGAGCTTTCGCAGCCATTCCTAGAGACACTTTGCTTTTAACAGTGAGAAATTTTGAACGACGTTTAAATTTGTGCCTTGAAGCAGACGGAGGCAACTTTGAACAGTTACTCCGTGGGTAATTATGATAAATTGCAGTTATGGTGAGAGGCAACGGGACTCACGATAATCAAGCACCCCAAAGGAAACAGAACTTACTACGTCCACGTCGTTGTTTCCGGGTAACACTAAAAGTATTAAATTAACATCTTCCAAGTTCTTGATTTGACCTTCTTGGACTCAGAAAAAAAAATCTAAACATCATTTTTAACGTAAAATTTTCTGCTCTTTTCGAATCCGGTGTCAAAAATAGAGGTTCTAATTAAAAAAAATGACTTTGACCTTCGAATGACCTTGAAAATCGATCTGAAGGTCAAAATTATTAGCACGGTAAAATGACTTCCGTTGTCCTTTACAATTCTTGTCGTAACCATTTTTTTGTAACTGGCGTATTTTAGGAGCAATTTGGATTAAAATGGCTCACCCTGTATATGTAAATATAATTATATATATAATATATATTATATGTGTGTGTGTGTGTGTGTGTGTATGTGTGCGTGTGTATAATTATTTATGCAATTAAAAAAAAATTATATTTTCTGTAAAAAATATAATTTATGTTTGATTGGTGACAGGCAGAAGAAAAGATAAAAATTAAAGAAATGGATAAGGAGTATTCTACAATTGCTGGTAGTGCTGAGTTTTGCCAACACAGTATTAATCTAGCTTTAGGAGATGGAAATGAAGTTATAGCAAATGGACTGGTGAGTACTATATCACAATTATTTATAGTTTTTTCTTTACAAAAGCATTTTTTCAGAATGCTACAGTTCAAGGAATTTCTGGCACTGGTTCTTTATTTGTTGGGGCACAATTTCTGTCTCATCATTTCCCAGGTAACAAGGATATATACCTGCCAACTCCTTCCTGGGGAAATCATACTCCATTATTTAGACTCGCTGGGCTTACGGTTAAGTCGTATCGTTATTACGATCCGAAGACCTGTGGTTTGGATTTTCAAGGAGTGATGGAAGATATATCTGTTAGTATAAAATCCTTATAAAAGAAGAATATCATTATTCTAACTCACAAAAAGCTTGCTGTTATCTTACTAAACATAATTAATCTTTATATGCTAAGGAAAGAACATAATTTCATAATATTAATGATTAATATCCCTCAAAAAGTCAATAAAAAAAATTGATAATTTTTATAATTATTTGCATCAAATTAATATTACATTATATTCGTTAATGTCACAATAATCCTTGGGTTATTAATACTTACTAATTGATGTTTCCATCGACAGAACATTCCCGAAAGATCGATTATCCTTCTGCATGCTTGTGCTCATAATCCAACTGGCGTCGATCCCAAACCAGAACAATGGTCCGAGTTATCTGCTTTGATTAAGAAGAAAAACCTATTTCCGTTTTTTGATATGGCGTATCAAGGTTTTGCCTCAGGTACGTACGAATTACTTAAAAAGTTACTAATAATTAACTAATATAGTTATCTTCAATTATTTCACAGATAAATTTATGAGTCAGATTATAAAACGAATTTGAATTGAAGAATTTTACCACTTTGTAATTTGTTATTTTATCTTAAAATATTTTTTACCTGTAGGAGATCTTACAAAAGATGCTTTTGCGGTTAGATCGTTCATCAAGGAAGGCCACAAAGTTGCCTTAGCTCAATCTTACGCGAAAAATATGGGTCTATATGGTAAGTATGTGTGTGTGTGTGTGTGTGTGTGTGTGTGTGTGTGTGTG